ATCATTGGCAGTATATTATTTTTTTTTACAAGTAGAAATATTACAATACAATATTTTAATATGTATTCTGGTCACAGGGGACGTATTTAGTGGAGAGGGGGAGGTTAGGGCCGTGGAACCACATTTCAATTATGTGTCATAATCTTTGAATAAGTCGTAAAATAATAATTGTATACTATTATCGTGAAAAAGAAGATTTTATCGCGATTTGTATGATCCATAACGGATATTTTACGTACGAGTATTACATTTGTATCGAAGATAAGCATTTTTCATTTATTTTTTTTATTATAAACATTAATGTTAACAATATCACACGCAGTTTACACTCACTCATATAAAATTAGTTTTGTTTTAAATGCCAAAGCGTGCAGTTTGAAATTCCATTTTGTTTTTTTTAAAAAAAAAAAAACGTTTTCTTGTATGAAAGGGCGCTAAAAGAACGGCGCCCTGGGGTGTCAAAAATATAAGTAACACATACCTTTGGTCGCCTAAAATAAAGTTTATCTAGTGCACTTACGGAGTACGGTTGTCGTGTAAAAGTGAAGGACGGTAGGTTTTTTTTTTTTAAATTGTATATTGCGGACACGATTCCAAGTGCTTTATAATTAAAACAGTACATATTATTTCGCCCGCCTCTTATACGACAATATCGATTCGTCTACATTATATAAAGCATCTATTATAATACGATGACTTACACGAGTATACTAATACGTATATTATAATATGACGTCCTATATGTATAATATTATCTCGTAATCCTCTTATGTTCAAATAATTTATTTCGTTTCAAAATACACTGTTCGAATATGTACTGATGGGTATATACAGAGTATCCCACGAATATATATCCATTGTAATGTATCCGGAGATAATAAAGGTAATTAAATTCTGTTTTTTTTATTGTTTATTATTTATTATTACTCACAGGGATAAAGGCTACAAAAATATTCGCATTTTAATTAGTTTTTCATGTTTCAGTAAAAAAATGCAAATAAATAACTTTTTATTTTATTTATTATTATTTTGAAATGTGCAGATGGCCATTTTATGGAGTTTATTCTTCTCAAAATTTTGACGTTTCAACTTTTAAACAACAAATATAATAAAAATAATATTTGTGTTTTCCAATCATTTTTTCACAGAAAAACAAGTGTATAGTCGTTAGTCAATTAGCAAATGCAATTATAGGTATTTTTCTTTGAGCTTTTTAAAATCACGAATTCAAAGTTGAAACGTTATAATTTCAGAAGAATAATAAACTCCATAAAATGACCATCTTCAAATTTTTCGAAAATAATAAAGTAAAGAGTTAGTTTTTAGTTTTATTATCAAAACATAAAAATTTAATTAAAATATAAATATTTGCATTTCTTATCCCTGCAAGTAATATATATATATATATGTATGTATAAAAACAAATATAATTCGATTTCCTTTGTTATCTTAGTAGATATTGCGATGGGTATATCATTGTGGGACACCCTGTGTACTACTTTTGAAATATTCACTTTGAAGGAATATTATACGATTATTTGCCGTTGTAGAGATAGCTGCTAGGTGTATTCAATGAGTCGCGTCGCTGTTTTATTAATGCGCTTGACAAAGAAACTTTTGAAGTTCTCTGTGCATTTGCTACACAGAGAACTTGCACGTGTCAATCATTTGACGCAGATACGTTATTAATTTACACCCGATATATTATTATTCTATTGTGCAGGGTGTTTCTGAAACGAAAGAGCAGGGAACTAATGGTTAATACGTAGGTGCTGTATGCGTGCATTATATTCTGCGGGGCGTACGGACGACGACGTCTTTTTTCGGAATGTTTTTCTATGTCTAAAACCTGCGGTAAACTCTGAGAGTCGAAATTGTCTCGCCAAATCTGTCTACCGATCGACGTGCGACGTTGTTTTTGCAATAAAAAATATCTGCCGTTTGAGAGTAGGTATTTTCCTATTAAAGATAATTTTGAATATATCGATTAAACGCAGGTTTTCGAGATAGCAGAAGAGCGATTCCGAAAATATCCGAGCTGGACACAATTTAATATCGAAAAAAGTGCAGGAATATATTTTGTATCGGCAATATGATTTGACTGTACGATGAATATGAAATAAAACGACGGCACCCGGAGGATGAGTTGCGAGCCAAATACGATTAACAATCCCTTAGAATAAAATATTATTATTATTATACGGATGTGGGTATGCGTATACATGTATTATATAGGTACTCGTAAAACTCCGCGTATCCGGTTTTGCGCGAAATATGTGATGTTTTCGTTAAAGCGATCTTTATACGAAGTTTTTATTTTATTCTTTTTCACCACCACTCGTATTTCACATATACATATGTATAATGTATATTTTTGTATATTATTATATATCGCGAGGTTAGTATAAATATTGATCGCCACCCCGCCACGGTCCATTTTCGAAATCAATAGTCGTCGTCGTTGTCGGCGGCGTCGGCATCGCCGAGGTCTTAGCATATCTATAAAGCTATGCCTATACTATTATAATGTATGCGAGAAAAATGTTTTAAAAAATTCCAACCTTGGCTTTTTCTATGCCTTTTTATTACACGCGAATGCGTTATCCGCTGCACTCGTAGTTCGTATGACAGTAAATAATAAATTATCGATTCATATTCTCATTTACACCTATGCGTTCTTTCGTTAGAAAATTAACAAAAAAAATGCTCATATATATGTATATATATATATATATACATTCTTATATGTCAGCGTTTCTTAACCTTTTTTCATTCACGTATCCCTTGCAGACGTATTCTCACCACCGTTGTACGGACCCCCAAATGTTGACTCTTCGTATATTTTCACATAAGATAGATAAAAAAAATTTCACTTTTTCCGCTATAACGCATTTTGTTACGCGAACCTTCTTATATACCTTATTCTTTATAAATTAGGTGTCCAAGTGTCCTCGATTAAGAAACGCTGGTATATAGTGTATACAATATTTTGGGTAAGTAAATAATTAAAAAATAAATAATGATAAAGTAGGTATACATCACTATACTGAATACCATATATATCATATAGTATTACGTTAGAGAAGCTGATGATTGATACCATAGTATGTATTTTTCTTTGATTTCCAGTTTACCGTTAAAATCGGAGAGAATTATATATTTTTTTAAGCAATGCCAAAAAATTATACATCTCACATGCTTCTATACGAGCAATCACCAAAGAGTATAAGTCATTATTAGGTTATATATTTGGGATGACAAAATCTGATATTGTCTATTTGGCATAGACGAAAAATCAATGTATTGATTATTTATTTATTATTCTGTCTACCGCCTGAACCGCCTATCACATAGTCGATCTCAACATACTCGTCTAGAATTTATCTTTACTTTTCTTTGAACTTGTTTTTAATACTGATTTGTTATGAAAATACTACATTACGCTCAATTTTTGTTTACTACTAGTAAATACATTTCGACTGTGCAAAACTGTGTAAAAACAATTTTATACACATAAAATCAAATAAAACCTAAACAATTTCAAATGCCTATAAATAGTACAAAAATCGCCAGTATTTTCTTAATATTTGACCACGTTTAGAATATATTACAATAAGTATTCTGTGAAAGTATTCTTTACGATTATTTATAATCAAATAACAAGAAAAAACCAAACTATAAGATAACAGAAACACTTATTGCTACGTTTTAGATTCCGAGCTACTGATTTTACAATGATGTTTATTTTTTATTCTTCTTTGTTCTAGTCTATGGACATGTATTTTCCTAGTAAAAGAGCTCAAGTTGTTTAGATTGTATATTAATAGAGGTCATTTTTTGATTTTCAACGTCATTTTTTAAATAAAATCACTTAAGTGGGAAAAAACATAAGAAAACTTACAATATCACAATTTCATTATTTTATAAAAACACGGACAACGTTTTCTGCCAGAAAAAATGATTTAATCGAAAAATGACACCTTTTTCGTTGCCTTTTTGATTTAATTTTTTACGGTATCAATGTGATGTTTCAAGATCCAATGTTTTGTACCAAAGTTGTTTTCAGACCAAAAAAAAAAAAAAACTTTAAATATAGTAAAACCAATACATTCCTTCTGCGCACAAAATGCATTTCATTGAAAATTGGACTTTAAATTGGACTTCTCGAAAGTTGTAAAATGTAGGTACATAATATCAGTTTCAATCATAATTCTACGGATATAATATAAAACAAGGATGGATACAGAAGTCCTAACTGGGAAGAAGGGGGCAATTTATTAATTATAAGCTAAAAAAAACTCGTTCATTTTCTTGATAAAGAAGAACTGTATAATAGACATCATTATACTGTATTCTATTATGGTATATTTCTTTAAAAAATACTAATTAATCTTCATAAAATGTTATAAGTAGGCGTATGCCTAATGTGAAAAATATTATGTGTTTATATAGGATATTAATTTTTTTTTTTTATTTAATCATCATAAATTATATAATGAGATAATATATAATTAATTTACATGACTATCTTTTTAATCTTGTGTTGAGATAGTTAGTAATAAATTGATAAAAATAAAACAAATAAAAACAAATTGTACTGTCAAATTGAAATAATGATATTATTAACAATTATATTTTTATAGGTTTTAATGAAATGTAATACTGCGAAGCAATAAATAAATAAATTTGCAGAAAAACGGAAACATAGACGATGCGGTCGATATATAATCCAAACTAATTATTTACTTGGCAGTTTCCGTGGGTTTCGACGATTTTATTGTTTCATAATATATATGTATATATATATATATAAATTCATTAAAAAAACCATAAAAATGTCAACATTTTAATGAATTGGATCAATACCGTTTATTAAAATAAAAAACAAAATAGATTATTATTTTTTTTTATTTTACTGCGGTCTTCGGATTTTTTGTTTAGTTTCTTTGATCGAATAAATTTGCCGTTGGATCCTAGCAATAATTTGTTGTACACTTATACAACACAATACACGATACACTTATAGTTTTTAGATGGAAATTATCGTCTTGAATAATCGTCTTGAAATTCTTACCAGAATATTCAGTGGCGTCATTTTAATATTTGATAAGACGAGAATGAACTTGTGAGTGAATCTATATAGGCAGTGACACCGACCTTGGGATCTTACTGGCGTAAAGATGATTTTTGTGCTTGTGCTTGGTAAGTATAGCTGTATAAGTGCACGAAAATTTTAACGTTAAATATTATAATTTTTAACAAAACCTTAACTATGAAAAAGGGAAAACCTTCAGAGCTCCCCCACACCCAAAAAAAATCAATCAAAGTAGTGATATCCATAACCTTACTCCTCTCCTATTTTCATGAGAAACAATACTCTTTTAGTTTTGTATTGCTTAACACTTGGCCAGTTTCTAAATGACGCATAAAACAGTCTTGGCTACAATATAGATATCACGATTTTGATAAACTGACGTTTTTGGGTGGGGTCCAAACATTTTTTCATTTCTTCTGAGTTTTCTACTTCCCAACATCCCTCTAACTTCTAGGCGAGTACACATGATCCTGACGTTTTATACCTTCTTCAGAAACTAGCCAAGTATTTAAGGATTAACGAAAGAATAGACTTGGCCACAACGTAGAAATCACTACGTTGATAGGTTGACTTTTTAGGGAAGGGATCTGGGATTTGGCTTAGATCATGAGCTATTTATGGTTATTCGAGTGGAATTGTTGGAAATGATATCAATAAACATATGTTCATGAAGGAATAATCGCTATCAATATTTTTTGCAACTAACCTTGATGTTTATAAAACTTAACCTTATGGTTTTCTGCTTTCCCATTCATAATATATATACACGACAGGTGTCTTATTACAAAATGTCAAAAGAACTAAACGAAAATAATTTCAAATATTGAGCAACTATACATATAGGTCTCAATGCTGTAAAATACGTAAATATGAATAACATTTATCACTTAAGTTTATTACTTTTTCGAAATAAATATAATTCTATTTGAATAATACACGCTTTTTTATATTATATCTATATGTAGTAATAAGTATTAAAATATCACTTTTTAGTTTTTATGACATCCGTTTTGAATTTTATTTTCGATTGTAAAATACATGTATAATAATATTATATTTTATTATATTATATGGAATTCTCTCGTTCAAGAGAACGCCCGAGCTAAACTTATAATATTACTCAATATACGACCACCGTGACTATAATATAAAACCTAACAAATTATTGAACTATTTCCAAAAGTGCTTTTTAAAGAAAGAAAAAACCGCAGACCATTGTTTATGTCTTTTATTATTATTTTTTTTATTGAGTACACAAGTTTTGTTTCCAATACCAATAACGAACGATTTCTAGAAATACATATTATTTTAACGTAATAATTTTTTTTTCTATAAAAACTGCTTCCATTTTATTCTTTAAAACGGCGTGCCTTTACTGGTGTATAAACATTTTTATATAAAATGTATACAATATATTATTTGTTGAAATTGTTATTTTATCAACTACGTACACATATTATAATATATAATATTATATATTATGTGATATTATAAATATCGCACATTTAATTCATCATACTTTTCTCTGATGGATTAAAATTATAGGAAACTTTAATATTATAATTTAATCTCAGTATTAAACACTTGAGATTAGTTTAATTCAAATAGCACAATTTATTTGTAAGTTTTACAAAGAGCTTTACATAGTTGATTAAATTAAAATTACTCGTTGAATATTTTGTTTTATTAAACGGTTAAATGCAAAAAGCATAATTTCGAAATAAACGATTAACCGGATTATAATAATATTTTGATATTATTATACACACAAACAATTATAGACAAATAGCAAAATATTATGAATTTCTCACATCTTGTATAGAGCAATAATAATGCAGTGTATTGGAAACTAGCTATTTTTATTTGTTTATCGTGTAAAATAGCAAAACACGTTCTTGGGCCATATACGAATAATTGGCAAAGTGACTGAGCGTGGCAATGAAACGTCAACGAAAATCGTTCGATTTTGTCTAAATAATCATGTGTTCTTTTGAGCTGTGTATACATTTTTTTACATTTTCTTTTTTATAACGGTTATCGGGCGAACTGCCAAGCAATACAATATTTAAGGGAAAGTAAGTGCAGTGTTATTCTTACTTTTTTTTTATTGCAACCGGGTGCAACTGTATCTTTAATGTTTTTATGCATTTTAAACATAAATATAACCTGCAAGAGGATCTAATAAAAAAAAAAAATCGAATTATATTGGTTTTCTTATAAAAGTTTTTTTTTCTGGTTCCTATCTATAATACGTTGGAGCGTAATATTTTTACGGTATTGTATTTATGCCGTTGTATATAATATTGTTCTAAAGGTCGTGCGTAAAACGTTTTATATACGAACTACATCGAAAATACTAGCGAATAATGTTGTTATCACGTGCGATGGGTCTATATAATTTTTAAACGAGTAGTTAGAAAAGTCGTGTTATAAACGCTCGTCGTTTTCACGGGGAAAGGTCAAATACATCGTATTATATATACTCTAATAAAGTATAAAAAGTGAAAACTTTTCGGCCTAATCGTGTTTTCAGCCCCTAGACATACCATATACCTATTATACCTACGTCATCGAAACTCATACATGAAACTCTGTAGAACTTGAAGGCTGCCCATTATGAGAAAAAAAACATGTAAATGGAGTTTTTCTCTACATTGCATATTGGTGAATAGTGTTATTATTTATTTATTTCTCTTTTGCTTATTCTCTCTCTCGTGCATTCAGAAAAAAACTACTTGGGCTTATAGACTTAATTAAGAATTTAAATTTCCACCATACTTTGGAAAACAGAATTTACATAGTGCAACGTCGGTTTTGTTTTTTCTATGTTACAAATACAAACAAAGTTAGGTTTTATAGCATACAAATCTGAAGACTATAAGTTTTTCAAACTCGAGTAACTTAGTTTGTAATAACAATATTGAATAACTAAAACCAACTTCGCACAGTGTAGTTCGATTTATTTTATAGAGAAATTTTGTTTTTTTAACTAAGCGTACCGCGCGAAACAGTTTTTTGCAAACATGTTTTGTAAATGTCACGATTGAACAATGAATGAATGTGATAATGACAGTGGTGGCACTAGGTTTTTTAGGGCTCTGGACAATATTTTAATATAACTAATGATATAGTATAGTGTATACCTATATAACAATAAACCGCGGATCCCACTAAAACAAAAACAAGTGCGGGGCAAATACTTGACATAGACTTATGTTCCATTTGTCCTCCACTAGCAGGTGGAATCGATTTTTGCGGGCGGTATTGATTTCCTAGGATATTTTTACCTGTCTTATACTATAGAATGTATACAATAATGATAGGAAACGTATTTTTAATCAATTTTGATCAGAGGTACGATTTTCCTATAACATAATCATACCCTACTATGTGTATTTTTGCAGGTGTTATGATTATCCTAGGAATATCATTCCCTCATTTTATAAATTTGAATGTACATATTTATTGTATAATTTTGCTACCTATGGGGTGTATGATTACCCTATAGGAAAGTCATATTTCCGTTACATAATCTTAAGAGTTAGATATTTTCTAGGATTTGGGTACTGAGGGTATGATATTCCTAGAATTATTGTACTGTAGGGGTATAATTTGCCTGTTACACCGGTACTACACGGGACTACTTGTAAATGTTTGTAATTGCAAAAACGAAAATATAAAATTTGTTATGTGCGTTTGACGGTGCGCTCATGATGTGATAGTGTGTGGGTAAACACTAAAATCGGTTGTAGACGTGTTTAGTGATGTGATAGAACTGAGGACGACGAAGTAGATGCAAAAGGGCGTAACGGCGTATACGTTTATATTTATAGAGATATACAACAGAATAATAATGAAAGAAACTGTGAGGTGATGAGAGAGAGAGAGAGAAAAGAGAGAGAGAGAGAGAAAGAGAGAAAGAGAGAGATGGAACGAGACACTTCCGAAATCGAGATCGTGTGGGAAGGAAACAGTAACGGAAATTGGTTTCATTGTTCACGTCATGTCTATATACACGGATATACACAATGTCAGGTGTTATTAACATAATTATTATTAGAATACTCATTTATCTTTGGTATCAAGGGAAAACAAATGCTTAATTCAATTTCATAAAAAGAAAAGAATTAAATATTTAAAATTTACTTTAAAACACATTCACAAGTAGTTCCGTATCATTATCACAAGTATTTATTGTGTAATCGTAAAATTAACAAAAAAAAATTACGAATAACCGTTTCGCAAGGAGCAAAAACTTTTTAGGCTCTTAGTGTTTCAGAAAACAAATATGTTCACTATAAACAAATAAAACTTGCTCTGTGGTAACGTTTGTTTTAGTTTTTCGATACCACTATTATGAAATAAGTTATTAAAGTTGGCACAAGTTCCCCTTTTACTATGGTGTTAAATATATTTTTTAGTTATGTCTATAGCCCGAGTACTAGAATGAATTTATATATTTATTTATTTAAGTTTTAAACTCAGGACAGTCAATGTTTACTGTGAATAGCTTATAAGCAAAGTATAAATCGAATTAAAAATGACGTTGTTAAGTGTTTCGATGTTAAAAAATGATAAAAGTGAGGCGTACGAATCTATTTGGCTATAGAACATTTGAAATAGAGAAATTGTGAGAACTTTTGTTGATGTTTTTAATTTTACATTTATGACGCGATTGGTACGGAGACCATTATATTGAGTTATATTCATAAAGAAAGCGTACCAAAGAGCAGAAAATGGGCTTTAAATCTAATGAATCAATAAAATAAGCACAATTTCGACGAATAAAACCAAGGATGTTGTTTGGTCTATTAACAATGTTGTTAATATGACCTTTAAAATTATGTTTAGGATCAAAAAAAATACCAAGGCCTTTAATAGGCTCCATTGGCCGATGTAGCGCTTCACAATTTATATTGTAATCGAACTATGAGATTATTCGAGTTGTGAAAAAAGTCATTATCTGGAATTTATTAATATTAAAAGTAACCATGGTTTTTTGAAAGATGAGAAAACAACGACAAATCTTTTAATTTTTCAAAATATATACTAGATGTTTTTGCATTCATTTATCAAGTAGGTTTAATTTTTACTGATTTTGTTAAGGCTTTTGACA